TAGTTCATTTACATAAAACAGTATGCTGAGAAGAATACATCAGGGCTATCATAACAAAGAATCTGCTTTAAGGGGTGAATCATTCTCTACCCTTGGATTGTAAGTTGTAGGAGGCCTAAGTTCGCGGCCGGGGACGGTAGAGCGGTCGTATTAAAGCATACGAGCAATCCTCAGAATAAGGATAAGCTGCATTCAAGGATAGACGTCCATTGAATATGTAAGTGTGGCTAAAATGCAAAACAGATTTGCATGATGAGAAGCTATGTGAGAGGACTCGGTGATCATTGATCGCACGCACTGTATGGTGCGATACTCGGCAATCACGCCCAGCGATCGCCGGCGCGTCCGAAGGCGAAACAATGGCAGGGCGTGGACTCTCGTGGAGATCAATAACCTTACCCCCTTGGCAGGGTTTTTTACCCACGCCATTTTTCAGCAGCAAAGTCGAGTAAAAGACTTGAACTATTGGGGGTTATTTGGGGTCCTAATTACAAGTGGCATAATTTATTTTCCGGTACTCTGCGCCAATATGGGCCAAATTGGCATGGTGGCGCCAAGTGGCGCCAGCGCGCAGCGGATTTGCGCGGGCCGCTATGCCAATTGGCGTTTAGGCCACTATTGGCGCAAAGTGGGCCAGCGCTTGAAACAGTGTGGTATTCGGATCAGGGATGTGATTACACCGCCATGAACAAGTATTTCGTACTTGGTGGGAAAAGTGTGGGACGCAACTTTGGCGCATAATGGCCAAATGACGGCAGCGGATTAAACGGATGATAGGGCATGTGAATTCGGGTTCGCGCATCGAATTACATCGTAGGCAATGATCAGCGAAATTTTTTTGTAGTTTTTGGGGTAGGAATAATCGCACATAGTGCCAAGTTTCAGTTGTTGGGATTCCCATAATGTCATTTCAATATTTTTCAGCTGATGTCTGGATAGTGTTTCGAGAAGATGGAGAGAGCCTTGATGTTGCTGAATTGTGCATCTTTCTTATTACCGTGGTAGTAATGGATTCCATTGTTGTGAAATGTCACCTGGTTATCATAACCGTCTTGTCGTGTGCGGATTGAGCGCGCAGTAAACTCGCGCTTTCATGAACGTCCCCCCCGCATGTCAGCGAAACAAGACTATAACTGATGACATACTTGGCGTGCTTGATATGGTGCATGGTAGCCCTGGACTCTTCCGAATCAACCGTGTGTAGTCAGCCAAGCTCTCTGCAATGACTACTAGTTCTTAGCGGATTGTCTGTGAAGCGTTTATATGAAAGCAGGGAAATGCAAGAAATTCTAGGGCGCTAATTATCCTAATGATCAGGTATGAGCCTCGTTTAGTGGATTCTGGGGTTTAAGGTATACGAATAATCTGACTCGTTGCGAAATGCTACCTCAGTCCGGTTTGAGTGGTCACGTAGCTTGGAGCAGTTAAAGCGATGCAAACATTTTTTTATCACGGAAAAGTTGTTTACCATCGGCACATCGGTGAATTGCAGGCCTGCCGATCCAGAAGCCAGAGTTGTTATCCTCCAAGACAAATACTTATCTGGCTGACCAACGAATACCAGTAGCTTACTCCCGAAGGATGTAGGCTTGATTGACCTTGGCTCCAAGGAAAGCTTGATTGACCTGGGTGGAAGCCGATCCCTTTTCCTCGAACCGTGCGCGTCGTAAGCGTGCTACTTGCCGCTACACACCTCCACAACGACAAAAAAGGATGCGATCAGAAATATGTGTTTTGGTTTTTTGACCTCAACTTCTACCAATTTAATGAAAACGAAGACGACTCGAGGCCAGAGTGAGTAGTGGACGACCGTACCTCATAACAACATAGCTGGTTTTTGAGAGAGGGGAGGGTCAAAGCTTTCTAATGTCTCGAATGTTACCCCTAAAAGCCTAATCTCTTTTGTAGGTGAACGGTATAATGATAATGCATTGCGAAGATCTTCTAATCCTTCGACGATGCGCGGCCACGTACATCGCGATGAGCATTCACTTCAACAGCTTGTTCGCTAGCCAGGTAACATTTCATTGAACCGTTTCATAGTTGGTTGAAATCTTAAAGTTGTAAGACGGTCCTAGCATGAGACTTTGCAGGGTTTCTTTCTGATCATGCCCACACTTCTGCGATGCTATAGTCAGCGCCAGACCAATCGTGTCTTTTGCTCGGTGGTGGAATTTCTCTGTCGTCAGTTCTACACGCTACATCGGAAGCCGTTTCTGCTACAAATGTGCGGCTCCATAGCAAATATCATCGACAACAACAACAACGACTTTGAGATAAATCCAATGCGAGTAAAGGCTAAGGTATGTTTTTCCCCACATTCTTGAAACACTCTTGTTTCTACAGTCCTTATTCCTGAGACAGAGTGGGCGTGGCATGTCAACATTGTACAGAATGGGTTTCTTGTGGAGTATTTCAGTTCGAGACAACTGTCATCCTGTTCGGTGTTCACAGAGACATGGTCACAGTTTCATCAAAATGAAAATGTCTCTTCAAAAGCAAAGCCACGTTCTTTTGAAGCACGCAGCCACGCCTATCACATCTTGGGGATTTCGATTGTACGTGCGGAAATAGGGTAGTATCGTGTTGAGGTACGATCCGCGCACAAAGCAATGGCCTTAGCGCTGATTATGATGGGATCTTTGGTGTTATTCTACTGCACGTCAAATCATAGGGACTTGTAGATAGGTAGGGAACGTCATTGGTTGTTGCCTACCTATCGTACATTGATCGTGAGTTGGGGCATCCTGCTCGAGTCCGCTCTATCCCTCCTTGAAGATAGATGGCTTGATACTATTGCCCCCCCCCCCCTACGTAGTTCGTCCTAAAACTGATGACGATCGAGTTGTTCAGGGCGTTCATGGGTACATACGTAGGCATCATGTAAAAGGAAAACCCGACGGAGGAACATACGACTCTCCTCTCACAACGGATTCGAAGATGCGCCCCTATGGCCTGCGAAAACAGAAAAAAACGGACCTATCTGTCTTTGGCTCAACTGACGACCGCCCTTCCCTCGGCGACCCCGAATGCGAGCCGTGCCTTCCGGGAATCGTGAGGCGATGATGTGCTCTTGCTTTGTGAGTGCTTGATCGGATTTTCGCTGCTCCTAGTCAAAGTGCTGAGATACGCGCGTGGACGAGCTTTTCCACTTTAAAGTCGGAGATACGGGTGGGATTTGTGCACAAACCTCGGATCGTTACGGCGGCTGAAGTTTGAGCATCTCTCAGGGATGCAGCAGTGATCGAACCTTTCGCTGCCCTGCAGGTAAAGCCGTACTAGTTGATTACACACTCTTTCTCAACGACTGCTTGATCAGCCGAGGCTGACTGGGGCCTAAGTACTAAGGATGCAGAAAAAGCTGTTAGTGGGAAGTGATCCTGCTATTACCCCCTCACCTGATCCCTGTATAGCTCTTCTGTTCCCTTTTTCGCCGCCTTGTCAGAGTTCAAAAAGTCTGGTTCTAAAAGGTTGAAGATGGTTAAGATACCTCATCGTCTAGAATATAAAGATCCGACATGGTCGTTCACTTACTGCGAGTGCGATTAGTGGGTGAACTATGTCCAGTACTGGTTTACACTGGCTCACAGCATGGAAAGTATGGACATGAACCACTGGACCAGTTGCGAATGGAATTCTTAGATGGTCCACGTGCTCCAGAAGTTGAAAAACCGACTGAGGTATGGGGGAGGTTAATTCAGGAACACAAATGTTATTCAGCTGGCTCCCTGTCTCATGGCCGAAACTTTAGGTTTATTTTTTAGGCCTTAGATCTTTGCTACCGAGATGATCCGAACACCTTTTGCTTGTTGACTGATGCAATAGCCAGCTGTATTTGTGTATGCGCTGTTGCGCATCAGCCGAGAGTCTAAGGCACAGCACTCTCACAGTGCTGGTTGAGTCTCATTCGGGAGAATAAATTTTCACTGTGTTTTGAATGGCGCAGCGACGTCGGGAGGGTCTAGTCGCGTCCAGTTGGCGTGAAAAATTTCGGAGGGTCTATCAGCCAGTTGGCGTAAAATTACACAAGCAATATTTCACGACCACTGAATAAAATTGGAATGTACAGAGTCTTGAAGGTTTGACAAGGTGCTGTGTTGCCCCTCTAAGGCTTTATTGGCCGGCGGTTTTAGTGGTATCGGTAGGGCGCAGGAGTGTTCGAACTGCGTCTTCTCTCAAGGCTCCCACCACCGCTGACCCGTTGACGTAGTGAGTTGGGCTTAGCGCGTCGCCAGTCCCACGTTGTTCTCCCGACAGTTTGGGCGAGTAGCGAGAGCAAGTGGTGTAAAAGACTGAGCAGACAGTATGGTACAGTCTTGTTGCCCACCGAAAGAAAAAAAAATAGGGTTGCGCTGTGCCATACAGTGGCACTGACTGTGAGCCATGAGGAAGGTGGAGGTGCGTTCGTACGCAGTTGTCAAAGGTGTCTTACTTTGGTGACTCGAAAGTACGTCGTAGGGGCGAGAGGGCCTGCAGCGCATGCTATTCTCCATCCGGTTACCTGAGTGGTAGCTTATACATGCAATCGCTGTCTGTTCATACGGTTAATACCCACGCCTTAGTTAATTGTGTTTTGTGCCCTCTGGCCCCTCATCCTATTTTCTCTTATCCGTGCGCTCAATGTTCCTTCACGACTTATCCCATTATATGTCCTTCTAATGCTGGAAATCACCTGCGAACAGAGAGCCTGTCCAGGACGTCACAATTTTTTGCCTTTTTTTAGACTGAACGCTACATGCAGTCCATTTTGCTGCAGACGCTGGGGCGTGTCAGGAGAGGAGTGGGGGCCGGATTAGGCTGAGTATGGCGCGACGCCAACTCCTTCAACACCAACTCGTAAAGCATCCAAGTGACAACAGCTGATGGAAAACGACCTGTGCCGTCCCACCTTCCGCGGCGAAAATGACTATAGCTATTGTAGACTAATAAGCAAACCGCATTGCGTACGTCCTACAGTCGCGACATATGCCTTGAATGATGCACCTGTCTTTCAGCTCGTCATGGCCGCTCTCCAGCCTCACTTGATTCGTCGAATCGAGGAAGAAACGATGCTTCAGAATAACGCACCTGCAGCTGTGAAGCATGAGGTGTCTCAATGGACCACAATGTGTGTGGAGATGAAGGCTCTGATAAATAGTTGCGATATTCTTGCTAGGTACTGCTTCATCTACCCCTTTACTGTAAACTTTTAAATAGTGAGAAAGCGTTGCTATAGTGATCAGTATTTTCCTTTCAGAGGGCCACAGCGCGCATTCGACTTGGTGAACTCAGTATCCGAACGAGGGAAGTCGTTTGCCGCTGATTCACCGCAGTTTTTTGATCCACCGACCACTAACGAAGACGATAACAGTCGACCGTACCATGTGTATGTCTTCACTTTTCTTTCTTTATCGAACCGTCAACCATCTTTTTCGATTAGCGTTAGTGCTCGTAATCAATCGTGATAGTCTAGTTGAGGCAACTCAGAGGTTTCAGAAAAGAGAAGAAATCGGTGGCAGTTGGCTGGGAAGCGGCAGAGGTCGAAGAATCGCACAAGGAAAGCTATCGACGATCACGCGATACGCTGCTGTGTTTGGCTGCTCAATTTATCGAGATGGCCACTCCCAGGTGAGAGTGAAGTTCCAACACAGTCAAACCTCTGTGTCGTTGAGCACTCGTGTCGCCTTGGGAATCGTATCGTAATCGTATTAGTTGGAGTAAAGAGGCTGGGCAAGAGAAAGGTCTTATTCGATCGATAGAGGGAGAGGGTCGTATTTGCTTTGACTGTCGACTTTTTCCTTGTTTTTCCATTTTACTAGCGCTTCCATACATACTGCCCCCTCCCTGAATTAGACAATTTCTCCGGAAAAAGCAGAGTGTTGGGAGAATTTGGGAAGATGGCTGGTGGGGTTGGGAGAGAGGTTGTGCTGGAGGTGGAAGTTTTGAAGAAGGGAGTCTTTTGTCAAATTTTCCCTAACGGCAGATGGCTGGTGGGGTTGGGAGAGAGGTTGTGCTGGAGGTGGAAGTTTTGAAGAAGGGAGTCTTTTGTCAAATTTTCCCTAACGGCAGGACGTGACCTGATTACTTCTTTCTGCTAGGTGTACATATTTTTGCATTTCAGTGAGGTTGGGTAGTAGAGAACACCTTTGGGTATGATGAGTGGGAACTGGCAACTTTATTCGTACTTAGTATTTATTACTTATTATTCTTGATGCATATAATTGTATATGCACAAAGGTGCATGCCTCATAGAACAAAGCAACAAACGTCGTCACAGACAGCATAGGCCTGTATAACTGAACTAATAGTCAAAAAGAAAATGTAAAAAGGATTTCTGCAGTAGTACAGATTAAGCTAAGGAACCAGACTGTCATCACAGAAATCAACGAAAGTTCAGAGAAAAAAGCCATGGTGGCTTCTTTTCTCCCTCAAGCTAGGTACGAATATAGAACCCTCTTCAACTGAGATAGGCTTCTGGGCTTAATGTGTTCTTGGGGATTTGCCGATTTCAGAGGAAGCCCACGCAGTGGGGAAACTTCGCTTATTGCATCAGCGTTCGAATCTAAGAAAAAATTTTCCTAGAACTTTGTCAACTCTCATTTGTTTTATATGGACAGATACAAGATCTACAGCACTGAGAACCAGGAAATTTCCCGGTTTTTTTCACAGCCAAGTTTAGGCTGAAGGAATTGGCGAAGCTGAGTTCAACGAGTGAACATACAAAGATTCCTGAAGTGATGGATCACAAATGCCATGTGAAGCTGAGTGAAATCGCACTAGCATTGCTGAAGATCGCTTCCTACGACTTGACGACGATGTCGTGCCTTGGCCTTCAGAAGTGAGTCATTGAGTTCACTATTCGCTTATTTATTTTTCAGTTTCGATTGGAGAAGTGTCCTAAAGCACGCACTTTCTTCCATATGAGTAGAAAACACTCGAAACTCATGCCTTGAAAGGGAAGACATCAGAGGAAGACACCTCTGGAATGGCTCCAAAAGTTGCTTACACTTGCTCAGTTCTTATTAATTCCTTTATGTTCAGGTACTTCACGACAATCATGCCCGTAACCGACTGGTCGATCGAGTCAAATCGCTCGGCCTTGGGTATTATTCTGAAGCGCCTTGACAAAACAATTGCTAAGATAGCCAAGAAACAAAGCATTCGACGTCGAGTGAAACTGGACAAGCTGCTGGCCTAGTTGGTATAAAGGGATATGTGAACACGTTTTATCTGTCTTTACGTAATGGCCATTGAATCCGTTGAAGCGTGCCTGCCTAATTGGTTTCTTTTGACCCTATGTTCTAGCTTCGTTCTGGGTGACACTGAGCGAATTCATTAATTAATTTTCGTCAACCACCCAGCTCTGCTGGGAATTATAGCTGGCGATACGTTTCACGAAGAAGGTGTGCCGGCTTCTCATCCGACGACAGTATTGCACTCGTCACCTCCTCCTCCAGTGTTCTGCAGCGCTGTCTTGAGAATGACAACCATTCTCATGCAAGCTTTAGGACAGGTGAGCGATACTCCTTCAATCCTACCATATTAGAATGTAGTATTTGTGTGTACTTGTCTGTTAGTCGTGAAAATCCTTGCGGATGTCACAGCAACAGGGTCGCGTTGGCTCTTACAAGTGATAATAGCAGGGCACGCCATCGCGTTGTGACAAATCCCTGAAAAATACGACCCTCTCCCTAATTCCATCCTCAAATACGACCCCTCCCCCTCCCCATCCTACCTACCACTTCCCAGATTTCCCAACCACTTTTTCCAATTTTCCTGAAAAATTTCTGGTTTTCCCCAAAATTTTGCTGCCGAGTGGTGGGAGGATATATAGCCAACGTGAAACGGGAAATTTCTCAAGCTATCCCCAATCTCTTCCAGAATTTCCCTACTTTTACTGAAAAACTTTGCTGTCGGGGGGGGGGGGGGTGAGATGGTCGTCAGGATAGTAGTTGTCCAGTGATACGAGAAAACCCGCAAAAAGCCAACAATCGGGAAAAGTTTTTTCCCAACGCCGCAAATTCCTCTCAAAAGACAAATACAACCTCACCCCTCTCCCAACAACGACCATGTACGACCCCCTCTTTATAGCGTCCGTGAAACAAGAAAACTCAACATCAAAAAAATTTTCCTAGACCAAATACGACCTCACTCCGTCGCGGTCAAATACGGCCCTCCCCGTTGTGGTCATCGCGACGATGGCGTGCCCTGGATAAGAGAGATGGAACCAGGACTCGACGGGGACAAAGTGGGACCGTTGGGGATCGTGCTCAACTGGAAGTGAACGCGTTCGCCGTCTTTACTGGCAGTCACTTGCTTCCATCGTTGCCATTATGATACACACGATCCATTTTAAGGAGCATGATTAGTTAGTTCAAAACCGACTGGAACAAAAAGCTAGTTAGACAAGTATTGGTGATTGCTCTAGCAAGAAAACAAGTCGGAGGTTCCAGGATAGTTTGTTTAATAATGTGGCGAAGTTGTTAAAACTGTCATACCGCACAGAAATATCCGTGAGATCGGTCACTTTCTTGAGATATGGTAGACGTGGCTGCGTCCTTCAACCAAGTGTAACAGTGGCTGTGCTTTTCGCGAGATATTTTCATTTTGGGACAGGTGTAGTCACGTCTTCGGATGACAGTTGTCTCCAAACTGAAATATCCCATGAGTAACCCATTTCATGCCATGTTCAGATGACACGCCTGCTCCGCGTCAGGGATGAGGAGGGTGTATATATAGGGCGCATCTTCGTTTCAAATGTTTTTTTTTCTTCCTCTACTTCCTTTTTCTTGTTTGTTCTTCTCTGTTCGAACGAATGAGAAAGGCTCGAACGCCACTGGACAGATTAAAATATGCAAAAAAAGGGAAAACCTGGCGTCGTGTCTAGCAACTCTTCGTTTCTGCGACCTTACGAATAAAGCGCTACCTGCTCCAGAGAATGTAGGGAATTGGAATTCACATTAAAAGAATACTGTATCGAACATGAGAGAATCAAACCTAATTATTTCGTTGGTCATGCTTATTTCTTGCATAACGTTAGTAATTTCTGCTGTTCAACT